AATGGTTTACAAAAAAACACTTGACTATGTAATTTATTATATAAGAATTTTTCATTTTCCCAGCTGATCCTTTGGAGGTACATGTGTGATTCATTATTGATGTAGTGATAGCTGTTTGCTTTGTGAATCATTTTGTTGTTTGGCTGGTATTATATAAGCAGATGTCTTTGTACTGAAAAGATTGCCCTTATATTAGTACATTGACACTGTGATGACCCACTATTGGTTTAAAGTAAACCTGTCACAAACTTCGGCAATCCAAACAGTAGGACCTAAATACCTAGGTATAATGTGTATTTTTTTTTTTTTAAATATCTAATATTTATGTGTATAATACCAGCAGTGAATGTATAACTTCTGCATCAACAAATACATACAAATTAGTTAAAAAAAAATTAACAACAAATAAAAACAAAGCCTTGCCTCTATATTATTGTTAGTGTAAAAATGTAATATAGAAATTTGGTCCTTAACCCCTTGACGCCAAGCGAATGCAAATATGCGGCCTCTCAGCGTCTGGGCTTTGACACAGAGTGGCCGCATATTTGCATGCAATTAGAAAATACATATGTGCTGAGAGTGTGCGCCCTGTGCACTCCCAGCACCCATGTTCGTGACTCACGGAAAGGTCCCAATCTCCGCTTTTGATCGGGACCTTTTCCGATCATCTGTCCGTGAATCACGGTGGTCACATGACCCTAAAACCCCGCCCCGCCTCCCAGCCTCTGGATGCGCCGGTGCAAAAAGGTTAAAGTGTTTCTAAACCCACAACAGTAAAATCAGTCTGTATATACAGTAAAGCATACTTATTATACTCACTGTGAAACCTAAGGGGTTAATCATCCACATTGTGTTAAAAAGGCTGTTTGATCCTGTCTTCCCTGACCCTCTCCTTCTTCTTCTTCTGTCCTCAATCCATCTGCTGATAGTACAGAGCTCTATCACTCTGTCACTCTAGCAATACACACAAAACTGAGCATGTACAGAGAGTTTTTTTTTTTTTGCTTGGGAGTGTGCATGTGATCAGCACAGGACCAATCAACACTGTCTACACAGAGGGTCAGGGGTTATGCAACCTCATAGGATAGTCAGAGCAGATTGAAAACTCCTTCTACAAGCTTTAACCAGTGCTCATCCGGACACTGATAGAAGTCACAAAACTGTTATATACTGCTGATTATAAAAGGTATTTAGCAATTTCTTTTACAAAGAGTTTTATTGTAGATTAAGCAGAGATAAACAAACATTCGGAACACAGATTCATTGACCAACAAATATGAATTGTACTGTGTAATTGGGAGCTAATTCAAGGCATGTATTGGTAGAGGCATAAGCTTTAACTTATTATATAAGTGCTCTAGAGGAGAAGACGGGGAGAGAGGTAGGAAGGAAACGATTAACAAACCTTTGAGGGTCAATGATAATGTAGACTCTTAAGAGGGAGTTTTGCTACATCAACATATAGAAAACAGGAGAGGCATGAGAAGAAGCCGTTCCAAATAATAATATATATTCCAGACCTTGGGCTCATAAAGAAATCCAGGTTGCATAGGTAGTATTGCAGATGCAGCAGATAGAACAGTGAGCACAAGCAGTACAATATGCATAAGAACAAATTAGACAAGAGATTAGAAATAGACAATCAATGAAAAGACACGAACAAAGAGGAAAAAAAAAAAAAGGGACTCCGAGGTAATCACAGCAGAATCCATCTTCATATCGACAGAAGGGACTGGTCGAATCTCAATGGTTGGGCTATATCCAGCCAGGGACGCCATATCTGCAGAAATTTTGTATGGGTATCCAACAATATAGCCGTCAGTTTTTCATTAACCATTATGAAGTTCATCCGGTTTTTGACAGCCTCGAAGCTGTGGAGAGGAGTCTTCCAAGCTCTCGCAATTGTCAATTTAGTAGCCATAAATAAGTGTGATGCCAGCTGCCGTTCAGGACGGAGAAGGCCCTCCAGTGGTTTAAATAGAAGCGCTTCGTACGGGTTACGCCTAATGTCTGTGTGAAGCATAGTGCGGAGGAGAGCATACACCCTAATCCATAATCTGCTTAATTTAGGGCAAGTCCACCAGATGTGGGCCATGGTGCCCAATTGTTGGCATCCCCAAAAACAAATCGGGGAACATGTAGGGATAAAACTAGCTAGACGAGCAGGCGTATAATACCATCGATAAAGAATTTTGTAGGCATTCTCGAGAATAATGACATTCCTAGAACATTTAGATAATGCTTGGGTCATGGTCCGCCAATCCTGTTGATCCAAAGTCCCCCCTAATTCAGGCTGCCAACGCTGATGATAGGAACGAACCGGAGGGGTTCTATAAGAAATAATGGAAGAGTAAATCAAGGAAATCAAACCCGGAGCATGGGGTCTATGTCTGCACTGGCTTTCAAAGGGGGACAGACGATAAGGTCCCGGATGCGTGCGTATTAGTGTATTAATAAAGTGACAAAGTTGAAAGTAACCAAAGTGTTCCCCAAGAGGACTATTATAAGAAGAGTGCAGAGTTTCAAAGGTAAGCATTCGAGTGGGAGATAGGAGCGAATGTACATCATAAAAACCATGCATCTGCCACCAGGCAAACTGCCTGGGATTGTCCCGACCTGGAGGGAATAACGGGTTATGCAACAGACGTAACAACGGCAGGTGGGCAGAAATAAGGCCAGCGGAATATTTGATAGAATCCCAAAGACAGAGCGAGAGCGTCGGGCTAAGGGTAGATGGACGTTGAGAGATAGGAAGCCATGGCAAGGAGGAGAGCGGTATCGGGTGGGAGTCCATCAAATCCACAACAGCCTACAAGGGGAAGTGGTGAGATGCATGAATATGAGCTAGGGGGGCAATATTAGCTGCCAGATAGTAAGACTGGAGATTTGGGACAGACAACCCACCCTGGTATTTAGTAATTTCTATTTACTAAAATAATTGCATTTCCATCTTCTGTGTACTGTGGAAGACTAAATATAGTGAATTCAGGGTCATGCGTTTAGTAACATTGAATTCTAATATTCCTTGAAAAAAAATGTTTTGTGTTGGCCAATTGAAAAGTGCACCACACTGGGTATTTTAGCTAGCAATAGTCAAGTTACCATTGGCAATGATATCATAACATTTTTTTTGGCCCTATCCATGCTACAATGTTAGAATTTAGTTTGGGTCAGGGTTTTGTTTGGCAGATTAGCTGTACCTAGAAAATAGTCTATTTTAGGTCCTTCATGGTATGCTGGCAGGACATACCATCAATATACAGTAGATGTAGAGCTGTTAAAACAAAATAATGATAAACATATTTCACAGTCCTGGATAAATTACCAACAATGTGCACAGAGATCAAATATACAGTAATTATATACAAAAAAAAAGTTGGTAGGTGTACTTTAACAGGTTAAACTTTCCTGCCAGTTTAACGGCTGCAAGACTGAGTCATTTCTACCCTTCAGGTACCATGCAATTTCCCTTTTTGAAGTCATAAATAAAAAGGCAAAGAACCATCCAAAGTAAAAGACAAATAACTCCTATTTTTACATTTCCATTCAGTCCGTTGATCTCATTTCATGGATCTCGGTTTTGGGGTCAGCAGTGAACTATGATATAACTCTCCCAGTCACCCTCTAAGTTCTTAGACACAGAGCTGAGTTATGGGCTTCGAGACTATGACAATCTGAATCTCATTCCACTAAAATATCATATTCAACCTCTAAAAAGACTTCATTTGGTGTCTTCCATCAGAAACGTTTTATATACACCACAAAGCTTAATGTCTGCTATGCCTTTATTATGGTTGTTTTAGGGGAATGTGAAGTGGTTTTGTACATATTGGGGAGAGTTCAAGGTTGTTGTAGGCACCCTTTAGAATCCCACTGGGCTTCTGTACCGAAATTGTGTGCAAATGTGCCAGATTCATGTACCTGTCATGTGATACATGTCTTTCCTAAAAGAAGTGGAGGTTTTTAAAGTGGAACTTTATGTAAATATTAAAATGGGTGAAAAGGCAGGATTTTTAATGCAGAATGGGTAAAAGGCAGGATTTTTAATGCAGAAGAGACATGCTTTGTCTATTTTGCATCAAACTTACCTATCTTCCTGTCCACCCTGTACACTGAACTGTGCAATTGCAGCTCACTGTAGAGATTCGGCAGTGATAAAGCCATCTGAATTCCCATGCATGTGCAGGAGTGACGTCATATCACCCAGCCAATGAAAGCATTCGGCACTTGATACCCAGAAGCCAGCTGTTCAAAAACATCAGCAGCTGGCAGGGAGCCCCAGGACATTGCATCACTGGATCCAAAGTGAGTATAGTTCTGCCTTAAGTGAATAATCAAATCACTGAAAGTAACGATACGAGTGATGTCACATGCATTCAACTCTGGCGGGTGTGTAAATAACAGTCGGGATGATGATGAGGAGGCTGGATGATGCTGAATGTTGTTTGTAAGGGAGTAAGTCAGCAGCAATAGGCAGAAGTGAAACAGGGAGGCATCAGAGGAGAGTCACTTGTAGCTAATCACTCAGGTGTTGCTCCACTTTAAAAGTTGCATGGCCTATTTAACGGACAAAGAATATCATACCAAAAGCTGGGCAACTGGAAATCTGGATGAAACAGACATGAAAAGCTGAACTCCAGACAATGGCTAAATACACTATTGAAATACAAATACTGTATGGGAGCTGTTTACCTGGCAAAGGATTTGCATTTCTGTCCATCCAGCCTTGTTGGACAGCAAAGCCAGGCTGGTGACTTTTGTTTGCAGTACTTGAGCAATGCACCTCCCACATCCCTAGCTTGTGATTGGATACTAATGAAGCAGCAGCACAACTGATGAACTCATTCTTTTGCTCACCCTACTCTCCTCTCAAGTTATTGACACCTGTTCACTGCAGCACACCTAATTGGCCTCTATTCTACACAGCATTCACTTAGAAATAATACATCATTCTCCGCTAGATTGGATCCTTAATGTGTTACTAAACACATGAGCATGAATTCTCTATACCTGGTCTCCTACAGTACACAGCACATTTTTGTAAATATAAACTGCTAAATACCTTTTCTCATTAGCAGTTAAAGCAGCCCTGTGACCTCTATCAGTGTCCAGCAGAGCACTGGTAAAAGCTTATAGGAGGAGTATATTCATTTTCCCCCAATTACCCTATGAGGTTGCAGGGCCCCTGACCGTCTGTCTGGAAAGTGCTGATTGGTCCTGTGCTGATCACATGCACTCTCCCAAAAAGAAAAAAAAAACCCTCTAGCAATACACACCAAACTGAGCATGTGCAGCTTCCCCCCAAGGCTCTGTACTCTCATCAGATGATTTAGGGACAGTAGAAGAAGGGGATCAGAAAAGACATGATCAAACATCCTTTTTACACAATGTGGAGGATTAACCCTTCAGGTTCCACAGTGAGTATAACAAGCATAACCTAAAATTGTATCATCCTATATACTGAATTCACAACTTTCTTTATTGGTATACTGTATGTACAATCACTAGTTGATGATGTCACAATATGGATGAACCATTGTATTTTATTCTGATAGTGCTTGTGTTAGCATATAGTTAAATTGGAGATGTACCATATTTCTTATGCTTTTGTTGAAAGGCAGGATTAGCCAATGTATTATTGGTACAGATTACAGTATAATCATACACCCCAACCATCTTGGATTGTGTGGGACTGTCCCAGGATTTCAAAAAATCCTGGAGTCTTGTAGATCCAAGCTGTGTCCTAGAGCCCAGTGCCAGCACACTCATTGCAGCATTTGGCTGCTATGAGGCTTTTGTTATGTCCTGTGCTGCCCACCTCTGCATTCTAGCCCTATGGAGCTCAGTGGAAAGCTAGATGACATCAGCACTTGCAGTGTCCCATTTGCTGTTTTTATGGATGGTGATCATTACAGCTCAGAGTTTTTTGTAATCAAAAAAGCAGAATATAGCAGAGATATTAATTGTATTTCTTCTCATTATAGCAATATTTAGTGCAGCTTATTATACATTTTTATAGGGAGGACACTAGACAAGTGGTGGTCAACTTATTTGATATTAAGCCATTCCCAATATTTGGGGAAGAGGGGCATAATGCTTAGGGCTGGAATTATCAGGAAAATAAAGTAAGAATGCTACCATGATCTGTCAGAACATTGTTAAACTGTTAGTTCACCTTTACAGAAAAACTAACACAGCCTCCCTTGCACCTTCCCCCCACCCCCTTCCCGGTCCCCACTGTCCCTACTGCACTTGGTTCTGGAGCTGTTAGTGCCCATACAGTCGGTCCAGTGATGATTCTAAATCCCCGCTCTTCTCCCTCTTCTGTGCAATGCTTCCTGGATGGACCAGAGTGATTCTGATTGGTCAGTACCTGCACAATGAACCGCTCTGCTCTATCCCAAAAGATGGGAAATTAGCAGGGATTTCAAATTCTTGAAATGTTGGACCAGCTGCATTGGTTCAGCTCAGCATCCTTAGAGGTAAGTACAGTAGGACCAGGGTAGGTTGGGTTGAGGTTATGGTGTTAGTTCATCTTTTTTTTTTTTTTTAAACATACCTGCAAAGCTAGTTAAATAAGAACGGTCTATGTTGTCTATAGATACCATACACTTTTACACTGTTAGCAGGGTTCTTTACTCTTAGAGTGGTAAGGATGTGGAACTTCCTTCCACAGTTGGTGGTGTCAGCGGGGAGTGTAGAGAAATGTAAAAAAAAAAAAATAGATGTGTATTTTAGCCAATGCAATGTACAGGGAAGTGGTAGTGACAGAAACACATATGCACACACATAGACACAGCTTGAACTGGATGGATTGATGTCTTCATTCAACCTTACCAACTTATTTAATCCAACAGGGTTCAAATGGCCCATTACTATGTGTTTATTATAGTATACATTTTTACAAAAAAGGGTGATATAGATAGTTCTGAACAGCAAAGTTAAATTGATGCTGTTTATTTTCCTTGATGCTAAGAAATCTCCAGAGCAGGGATTGACATGCAGAACAGCATAGAACAATTTGACTCTTGGGAGCGTCTTAGAAATGAAGATCAGCACATCCCATGGGAGACAATACACCTGCAATGTCATTGAAATTATGTTGCAACCTTACATTGATATATTTGGTGTCTTTCTGAACATGTTTTACACTTATTAAAGGATAAGTTCACCTTTTAGACAAAAATAATAAATGCACTTTTTTTGCAGGTTAAAAAACTGTGCATTTATTATTTTTGTCTAAAGGAGCCTGGAAAGCATTGCACCAGCGATCAGATCGCTGATGCCATGCAGGTCTCCTGCAGACCTGTCAGAATATCTGCTTGCCGTATGGGATGCACGAGCAAGCAGATATACTTCAATGAACTACCAAAGCGCTTTTTTTTGCAGGAAAGTTTCCCAGATGCCTTTTGTTTCAGAAATTACTATTTTGGGGTTTACATTAGTATTATGGGTGGTATATTGGGTTTTTATGTTAATAGGGTCTTTTAGGTTAACCTGTTTTTTTTTTTTATTTTTTTTTTTTTTTTACTAAAGCCTTTCCTTTAAAAAGTGGTATTTTAATTTCATTTGTGCTTTATTTTCTCAAAGCAGAGCATCCACTTGTTACTGATAATCTCATCCAAACCCACACCCCTCCCCCACTTCATTCCCAAAGATAAAATAAAGGGCAGGCAAAGAGTTGTTAAGCCTATTGTCTAAAATTAAAATTGTCCAGCTGCTGGCCAATTTTATATTGCCGTATCCACAGCAATATTTCAATTCTTGAAGTAAAACCCCAACCTGTGATTTTGTCTCCAATAAATGTATGTTTTGCATTGGGACATGTCCCCCAGGAGAGTGTCTAGCTTCTCATGCTGTCTTGACAGTAAATTGCCTATTAAAATGGGCAAAATGTATCCACAGGTTTCCCCCCACCCCACAGGCTTCAATAAGTTAAGTTTTATCAAATTTCAAACAAGATTTGACAGACCCTTAGTAAATTAAACTCGGTAGATTCTTTCATCCCATTTTTCATAAAACATCAGAGAACGTAGAAAGTAATTTTGTTACCATTTAAATAATGTATTCATTTCAATTTGACTGTACATGTACTGAGCGGTGAGGAAAGGCCCATGAGATTGATATTCCAGTTATTTAGAAAGGAGATATTACTGAGATCCCCTCACTTTGTGAAAAACAAAATGTAAACAAGAGCTTTTTTGCTTCTGCTCTGAAGGTTTCATGGGCTTCTTTTTCCTGTGGGCCACTGAAATGTTTTCAAGAAGAGAGGAAAATGAAAAGTCATGCAGGAAAGATGTGCTTGTTTTCTGTATCTAACAGTTCTACAAGTTTACAATGACATTAAAGTGGAGCTCCACCCAAAAGGGGAAGTTCCGCTTTAAGGACTGCTCCCCCCCCCCGCTCCCCATTAAGGCACTTTTGGGGGGCGGGGGGGAGTGGGTACCCGAATTTGACATGTACCCGCTCCCACTTCCGGTAGGTGTCCTTCCTCCTTCCCTGTAGTCTTTTGGGACACGTGACAGGTCCCAGAAGACTAGAGGACCATTCATGAAGCGCAGAGCTACTCGCACATGCACAGTGGGTACCCGGCTGTGACGCCGCAAGCTATCACAGCCAGGTGCCAACATTGAAGATGCTGTACAGGACGGCCGGTGAAACGGGCTGCGGGGGACACACCGCGGGATTGAGGGACAGGTAAGTTTCTTTTTTTAAAAGTCAGCAGCTACATTTTTTGTAGCTGTTGACTTTTATTTTTTGACAGGGTGAGTGGATTCTTTGATGTCTTGGGCTGCCAGTGATATGCCTGATACAGACTAAATAATAATATGGCATGGCGATGAAATGAACCCAAGTAATAAAACCCTTAGTAAAGTCTGGCTGATGAAGCAGAGTTCTTAGGAACAGCTGTTAAAGTGGTTCTGAAGGCAGAAGGTTTTTCTACTTTAATGTATTCTATACATTAAGATGCAGTACTTACCTGAGCCTGATGTTAATCCAATGCTGTGGACGCTGTGGACTCAGTGACTCAGAAGCAGCAGCAGGAGCCACTGGCTCCTGCTGCTGTCAAGCACAAGCAGTGAGAAGGGAGCAGGGGTGGGGTCGTGGCCCACCCACACTGTGTGTGTCACTGGACACACAGAGCGCAGCTCAGGAGCAAGCCCGCATGAGTGCCCCCAGAGCAAGCAGCTTGCCATGGGGGCACTCAGCAACGGGAGGAGGGGGATGAAGAAGTGCCAAGAAGAGGGGACCCAAGAAAAGGAGGTTCAGTGATGCTCTGTGTAACACCTTTGCATAAAGCAGGTTAGTATACTATATTTGTTATTTTTTAAAATTCCCTTTTCATTTGCTTTAAGCAAACATGAAACACAGAAGAGTGACAGCAGAAAAAGAAGTTCCCTTTTTTCATTTGTTTTTTTTTTCCTTTTTTAACCTTTTGGTACCAACCATGTTTAAATTCACTTTGACTTCACTACCTCTGTATGATAACTGTTTCAAGCATCAAGTACTTTTCAATAAATGTTTTAAGACTGGAACCTAAAACCTGGTACACGCCCACCCTGAATGAAAAAAATGGAGCAGCTCATGAGGAGGTCTCTGTACTAACTTTTCGAGGTCAGTACAGCAATCATCGTGTTCTGACAGTGGGAATTCCCCCCACCAGAGCACATTGTTCAGCACTTGCAGCCATTGGCTGAGACCGCTGATTGGATGCCAAACAGCTGCTGGTTTTCCAGCATGCTCGTTTGACAGAAGCCAGATGTGAGATTGGTTTCTGTCCAACAAGGACCTATACATATGTGTCGAATGTCAGCCTGTATCTACTGTACCAACTGATTTCAGCCGATAATTGGCCCATATGTACAGGGATTTAATTTGGGGTCATGTCCCGATGTTCTTGATGTTAACTCCATATTGAAAATACTGCCCTCACCCGAGAGGTGATGAGGGCATACCTCCACTTCCCCTCCCCCAACTTTTTTTTTCTTGCTTTTATTCTCTCTCCTGTTCTACTCCCATTTCTCTATTTTCACCTCTTTTTTCTCATTCCATTTTTTTGTTGTTGAGCATATTGTTGACATATCACTCTATGGTGGGCATTTATGCAATGTCAGGTTGTTATTGCTGTGCCTTTACCTATGTTGGTTACACTGGAATGTGCCTATATGTCTCCATTGATGGAAATGTTACATGTTTTTCTTTTCCTCTCTTCCTCCCGTGTATTTCAGGGAGGTGTTTGTATTTTATTGAAAATTAATAAAAACCTATTGAAAGAGAAAATACTGCCCTCCTGGACCTTATTCATATTACCACTTTTGTTGCCCATCTCTGGACTTATTCTATCTTATCGATATCTTAATTTTTGTAAGTAAGGTCACCAGAACCGGACAAAAAAGGTTGCATCTAGCAAGTTTGTGCCTAATTATTATTATTACTATACAGTATTTATATAGGGCCAAAACGTTTGCT